GTATTCAGTTATTGCAGGGAGGAGGGGGAGTAGCGTCTTTACCCAAAAGTAACGTCTAAATGTCAAGTTTTTGCCTTCTTACGTTGTTTTAGTACTTGAAAGTCAAAAGGTGAGCTTCGCTTCACAGCGTCGCAGAGAAAACTGACTTTTATTTCTCTAATTTATGGCCACTAACACGTCTAATTATACTGTACAAGTACCTCAACATGCACAAATGCCTCTGCATCAGCACACAACATCGGGACGAGTGAAATGGCGATGTCAAAACGACCCCCTCCGCCCTTCACAACCTGCTCACCATCTCTCAAAAGCATTAGTTGAGAGGGGTAGACACCACTAAAACAGTGCTCGGCTCTGCGAGAATGCCAGGAGGTAATTGCTTCACACGGTTGCATCTACCAGATCGGGCAATGCGGATTGGAGGGAGAAGGTAAAAGAGGAGGATCAGAGAAGGAAGGAAGGAAAAGAAGGAATGAGGAAGAAAAAATGAAAGAGAGAGGCTTCCCGGTTGACAAGTACCCTGAGACGGATTGAGAGGGGTAGACACAGCACATAAACTATAACAAATAGTAATCTTGCCGCGACACGGTCGGGTAGGGGCAAGCGTTCGTAGGGTTTCCCTCAACCGGATGTTCCCTCAGCGCGAGGTTCCAGAGGTAATTTCTCATGAGCATTTGAGAGGGAAACAAGGAAGAGGTTAGAATAGAGGAAGGGAAGAAAAGGAAGGAAAAATAAGGTTTAGCGGTTGACAGATATAGACGCGGTTGGGATGTGGAGACAATGCGAGTGGAATGAGAGAAAACAACAAGTGGGAAAGTTTGTTTACAGGTCAATACGACCCCCCTCTCTGATAGGCTTTGCATAACGACGTTATACCCTGCTTGGACTAGTTAGGGATCGTGTCCACTAGATGTTGGGGAAGGCTAAAATTCTTAGTTGTAAAGTTAAAAACGAAGATGTTCAATAATGGGTGGGCATTTCAGCGTAAGATGCGAAGAAGTGATTGCAAGCCAGGGACCATGGACCAATAGGGAATAAGAACCAATCCCTTTGTGCATATTTGTCGTAATTTTAAATGCTTCAGACGCTCTGCACTTAAATGCTTACCCTTGCTGGGCGAGGGATCGGAGCTATTTCTCATCATCTGGTCGAGCATTTGAGGGGATAAGAAGAGAGAAGAGGAAAGGAATGAAGAGGCAGCGAACAAAGATGCAAAAGGACGGAGGGAGGAGGCTTCTGGTTGAAAAATGTCCTGAGACACCTAGAAAAGCTTCTCATTACAAGTACTGGTTTTCTGTTACAAAGGAAAACCGCAGGAGTGGAACAAAAGTATCACGAAGTAGGCAACTAGTGATGCAAGACTCACTCCAAACTATTGAGGCTTTCTTCTTTCAAAAACCATGGCATAAAAAAGACGATTTTTTCAGTAAAATAAACAAAGCACTAATACAGCCAGACGACAATTAATTGTCTAGCGACCGCAACGATAAACGCCGATCATCCCGCTAAGATACACATGACGACTACTAATAAGGTAAATCAATCTTATTGGTTCCCAAGACGGGTGCAGCGCATTGAAGATGGATGTGTGTGAAAAGTTTGTGTGGCACCTGATTAAAAACGTGACATCAAAAATCAGCTGACGCTACTCTGAGGGCCTGCAGTACGCATTATCGTTGGGGAAAAAAACTGGAAACGAAACGAGAAAACGTTCTTACAATGCGTCGCGGTCTTGGCGCTGGAGCGCGCTAACCCTACTCGGATGGAAGACGTAGGCCGGGATACGGCGCAGGTTGACGACGGAGGGCGGGGGGGCATTTTGCACCTTTGCTGCTTCCCACCGACGTGTCGGGCCATCAGGAGCAGACCTGTGAAATCTTGCGAAGCCACGAAATACTGATACCAGACAAAGTTTATGAGACCACTTGTAAATGCCTGTCAAGAATACCTGTCAGCTATAGTTGAAGGCAGTGAGCACGATAATTTGGTGTATGCTGGCAAGGTGCTGTAGTGGGGAAATGGCGAAAAAACGAAGTGAAGCAGTCAAAGACCTGCGAAAAACCCTTCGTTCTTAATGACTCAAAAAGCAGTTCCGGATTCTTGCGAGCATCTTCCTAACTGCCGCTAAGGCAGATACGGCTCCTCGTCAGTACTCATATATCCATGCAGCACCGAATCGCTTCATGTTAATCCCCCCTTCATCATTTACTTAGCAAATAAAACAATACGAGCATCAGGTACGGTCGTCCATATGTTAGCAGCCGGGCGCGATGCACATCCGGGTCGGCAGCTTGATAGGGCCTTATAAGGCAGCGTTCAGACTTGACGCGCTTTCAAGCGCAGCAATACGCGTTGTCGCGCCTGAAAACGCGTTGCTGCGTGTCAGAGCCCTTTTAGACGCTATGACATGCTACAGTTACAACCGTGCTCGGCACTATTACACTATTCCTACCCCAGTGACCTCCTAAACATGAATATCACATCCGTTTGGCCCGAAACCGCCTGGCGCGGGCGTCAGGCGGTTTCGGGCCAAACGGACGTGATATTCATGTGTGATATTCAGGCGTCGGCGCCAAAACACCCTAAATTACCAAAATCGATGAGAACTTATAAAAGGGAGCTATTCGGCATCCTGATTACGAATATGACACGCACACTTGGCACCGGCGTTAATGTACGACACTCCCAGATCTGGGACGCCGCTCAGATCCAGAAACCCGCGGTAATTTTCTGAGAAAAGTGACCGAAACCAACTTCGGGGCACCTTGTCTTGATGCCACTAGATCCGAAACTGCTGTGGAGATCTATAAAAAACCCATATCTATCCATAAGGCGCGGGGGTGGTGCAGTGACAGGGGGCGCGCTTATCACTCGCCGGGTTCAAATCCCGGGTCGACTCCCGCCCAGGCCAACCAAGCCTTCTACCCTCCGGGGACGGTAAATTGGTACCAGATTCGTCTGGGAGGATAAAACACTGACTTGTACATCGGCTGGCCACCGCAAGTCATTGTATAGGCCACATCGCATTCAATAAGCCACTACGATTCTGAATGGAAGTAGAATGCGTGCCGCATCCCACAAAGGGATTGATCAACGGCGAAGACTTTATCCTTTATCCTTTATCTACCCATAAAGATTTTAGAGCAGTTCTGGAAGATCCTACCAGATCCACCGTACTCTCTCGACATAGCCTCCTTCGATTATCACCTGTTCCATCCTCTTCAGGGTTTTCTCATGCGAGAGAAATCGCTTGTTCTTCGACTCGCAGTCTCTCCGATGCTGAGAGAAGATAACCGCTGACCTTCACATTAGGTGGGACACTCTAGTGGCTAACATGGCTATCACAGTGTTGGCTAATTTCTATTGCATATTGATTCGGAAAATAAAAAAGAAAAAATCTGAACAATGACAGGGAATTTTTTCCAGCCTGATACTTACGAAAAAATGTACACAGTTGAGAAAACATGAAATAGCAACTATCGAGGGATACATAAAAAGCTGAAAGAGGACGTCGAACAATAGCAACAGCAACCACTAGACTGTCGCCATTTGGGCGCGCTCAATTTTGGCTGCTGCCTCATTTATGAAGTGCCTAGATCACCAAATCCGCTGAAAACTTGTATACAGGGGTATTCAACATCCTGATTACGAATATGACATTCTTTCTTGGCGCTGGCGCTAATGGAGGACACTACGATTACTTGCGCTCTGCTAAGGCTGCGCCAAGAAGATAATCGTAGCGTCCTTAATTAGCGCCAGCGCTATGAATAATTGTCACATTCGTAATCAGGATGTTGAATAACTCCTGTATACAAGTTTTCAGCGGATTTGGTGATCTAGGCACTTCATAAATGAGCCAGTAGCCAAAACTGAGCGCGTCCAAACGGCATCAGTCCAAACACTAGAACGCATCACAAAGAAATAAAATTCAGACATTTTCATTGGTCTATTGATCTATTGACCTGAATAACAACTACTCTGACATTGAGCTCGTGAAAGGCGAAACACTATACATTCTACCAAAAAATCGCACAAAAGCTCAATCCAGGCTTTTGTGCTGACCATATGGGTGGGGAAATACAACTTTTCTTGCTCACTGACTCGCTAGCCCGCTTTACCGTACCAGAAGAAGAGGACGCATGCATGGATAAAGCCTTAGTCTGCTCTTACCATTGGAGTCAGCGTGGCTTGTGCCTTAAAAGGCACATTTGGCGATTACTTGTAAGAATCAAAAGCTCCACCGGGAAGTGGTGATGTAAGCCGCAATGGACAAGCTTGTAGCACCACTTTTTCGTCGCAAAGTATTAGGAAGGAGCACCGTGGCGGAAGGCTACTGAAGCAGCTCCCTGAGGCAAGTGACTCCGCCCATCGTGGTGTTTGTCGTCTTGCTGTCGTCCCTCTTCTCTAATGCCAACGAAATTTCGCCTGTTCGGGCGTTTTGGACTATACCCTCTGCATTTCGCTCACGGATGAGTCAAATAACACGTACACTCTCGCTTTTTATTCCGCTTTTTAGCCCCGGGTCCTACAACTCATAAGCGCAAAATGTACCTTGAAAGTGACAACTTATTACCGCCCATTTATCGACGTATCCATGAACAACGTGAAAGAGTAAATAACAGCAGGTAGAGATACGTACAAGACAACCGCGATCTGTCGCTTCGTCGCGCGCGGCGTATCGTGCAGGGTTGCGAGGCGGATTCTACAAATGTATCAGATTGTTGACCGAAGCAGTGAAACTCGTAAGGACAGAGGCAGATGCAAGACTCCATGACGGACAATATCGAATTTTTCCGTTTAACTGATACTCGAATTCAAACGATCGGGTAGGACAACTCGTCCGTCCGCCGCTTCCTTGCTCGTCGCGCCCACCAGCGCAGCGTTTCACGATTGTATTGTCACTGCTCCACTAGGTAATGAAATGAATATCAACAAAGAATTGCCTACAGCTCTAATATAACATCTATCTGAACATGATGTGAGCAACTAATTACAGTAATTCACATGAACGGCCGTAGCATTTCTTTATCCAAACAGCAGTCCCGAATAACACCTTTCCGAAACAGTTGTATGAACATCGTTATTGCACGATCGAAATCCCAGCGATCTTCGTACGTGAGCCCAATAAGGCAACGTTTTCGAAAATCCTGAAGTTATGCTATATTTAAACAACAAATAAACAAATATGAGATCCAAGAACACCTAATAATGGCCGCTATGAGGTACGATGTCATGCAGTTCTGCAACGAAGTGATCCCTTTCCCTCTGCAGGCCTATCATTAAATATGAGTACAGAGGATCAGTCTTCTCGGGGTGCAGGGTAGAGCACTTCGCGGTGTCGCCGCGTGCCCCTCATCAACTGCAAGCACCAAACAGTGCTCTACTGGAACTTATAGCCAAAAGGGCGTCAGGGAACGACGCCATGAGCGCGCTCTTTCCCTTCTCTTTGTGGTGCTGATGGCTGAGAAAGGTACACTCTACTTCGCTGCGGACTGTTGGGCGTGCCAGGTAGTATGTGTCACGTCGTCAAAGCCGTCCTCGGCCTCATTGAAGACAAAACGACAGCGACAAAAAGTGGTATAAAACGAGTAATACGAAAATATGATACAGTCATATCATCTGCTCGTTCTAACAACTGGTGGAGAACGGGTTCAGCACTGCGCCAAACCGCTTGACACGACCAACAGTCCGCAGCGAACTACACTATAGGAAGAAGAGGAGCGCACTAATGACGTTTCTCCGCCTATTTGGGAATCTCAGACAGTGTCGTTTAAAGCGAATCGGTTGAAAATCGCCGATTCTTGTATCCTGACGATCTGAGCAATCCCTGGGGGTGGCTGAGATTCGGAGAACTCCCGGCAGACTCGAATGGTGGGTGTATTTTTGTCCAATACCCCTCCAAACTCCCATTTCTCCGATCTGCAAGAGTACCGAGTCGGAGCTTTCTGAGCCCTAACGCGTTCACGAGCCCATTCTCGTCACAATTCGAGATCCGAAAGTTACTATAGCTGTGAGAAAAGGCTCGACTACAGCCAAATCTCTACCATCGACCTCTAGCGTACTTAGCCTAAGCACTAATCATTACACAACTGGTGTCGTTAATGGGTTAGAGGGCGTGAGTGCCGATGAATTATATAAAGAAATCCATGAAGCTTAGAAGGGCACTAGACCGTACTGATGGTGTAATATTTGCACTAGTCCAACAGGCGTGAGGTACAGATTCTAGCCCAGAGGCTCTGCCATAACTCATCATTCTTGTGATAGTTTTGTGATCAACTGTCCTACTGGCAAAGCTGACCCATTCCAAGAGAAATATCAAGAAAACAAAAGAATATTTTCTTAATTCAGCCACGAACCTTCTCAGAGCATACTCGAAGTAGAAGTTTTTCAAGGTTGTCGGTTGGCCCGCCCTTGATTCCCAGATGACTGATGTATGAATAATCACCAGTACTGAAAGAATGCTCACATTTACCATAAGGCAAAAAAATGACAATGCTAAATGAGCCAAGAGAAAAAACATTATTGGAGCAGCCATTAACAGATCAGATGGCATTCACTGAGTTCTAGAAAAAAAGAAGTATTTGTGAAACGGTGAAAGTGCGCAAAACACTACGTAGATTCTGAATATTCAATCGTGTATAGATCCTCTGTGCTTTTGTTCCAGCTTAACTATAAGCGGAATGATGGATCTATTCATCCTGAAGGTTTTGGACCTGGGGTGGGTATGTGACAAGACAATCGCAATTCGCCGCTTCGGTGGGCTTCGCGTGCGAGGCCGCGCCCGCTAATGATGATGTTTTTAGATAGCACATGTGGGCAGCTGACAATTTATACCCAAATGTATCCATAAATGTCGATGATGCCGCGGTACACGTGGACGGAACGGCGATTACGATTGTTTTGACCGTCTCCCGCTGGGGTGGATGCACGCGGCGAAGAACACTCGGTTGCCTGCGCTTTCCTAGGACTGAGTCCATTGGTTAGGGAAGAGGGAGGGGGGGGGGGGAGGGAGAGCTTACATTTTCGTTGAGAGGGCGCACGGGGAGCATCTTAATCAGCATGACCTTCCTCTAACTTCTGTAGCCACCAGATCTGTGTAGCTTTCAGAAATTCAGGAAAAAAAAGCAATAATCAAAATCATACCGATTCAACCAGTAAAGAAGATAATCAGCCACGTATCGAGGATTCGTAGCGCTCTCTAGGATCAGATCGCATAGAGCTAACTTCATCACCTGAATGTATTGAACAACTGATAAAACGAAGTCATTCTCGTAATATAATAGTCTGCGACGAAATAAAACTATGAGCGTAATTCTTGCTGAAAAAGAATACTCTTCTGATTAGTTAGCTCATGCGGGCTCATGCAAAATTAGCCCAAGCAACACCATAGAAATAAAGGGCTCTGGAACTTGCCTCATCTATGTTCCGAGTGGCCGGGGAAAGAACACCAGGAGTATCAAGCACGTAGACAGGCGGCTTGTCCAAGACACGTACTCGATTTTGAACGCGTACCGTAACACCAGGACGGGGCGCCTGTACGAAAAAATAGGTCCTTCCATTCAATCTGAGTTGTAGAATACCGCAATTTCAATAAACAAGGTGAGACACTGGTAGAGCAGCCGGGACCTAGACTCGAGTGCATGACATGTGTCACATTTTTGCAAAATTCTTAGGATTTGGCTAGAGGTGCTACTCATAAAACCGCGCATAGAGGAAAGAGCAGTGGGTGAAAGCGCATCAAGCAGTGATTGTTTCAGACGTTGCAAAACAGCGTGCTAATGTGCCCACATAATCCAGCCAGTGAGAGGAGGAGGAGGGGGGGGGGAAAGCAGTGTCATTAGCGCTAGTTCCGAGTAACGGCATCGCATGCCGTTCATTGACTTGACAGACACATACAAGGATAGAACCGATACGTCGCAGTGTTAACGTTAGGTAGATTGGGTCCTAGTGCGAAAGCTGCGAACATTACTCCGCTAGGATCTACGGTAAACTTGAACACAATTCCTTTGAACAAGTCGAATTTGCGGTTTTCTCTGCTCTGTCTCGTCCGCGTGGCACTCTACGGTCATTGTGGCTTCTCACATCCAGCTTTCACGTATGATAAGTGGCTCACCCACTTCGGAGTCCCTCCTCCTGAAGAGCTCGTTTCCTGGCTCGCCAATGTTTCTTGCACCTTTCGTTACTTTGGCTGGCACGTCCTCTACCTATATGCGTTTCTTGGTTTCGCCGTAGGACCATGCACAGAGTTAAAGATGTCACGTAACCGCCCGCTAGAAACGGTTCTTCCTTTAGCACCCCGCGACTCGGAAGTGAGCTATACACCTCTTTTGCTCTCCAGGACTCAGCAGAACGCTCATGGCCAGAGCGCACATGATCAGTGTTGTAAGATACCACTAGCACTCAAGTACGTTAGCGCCAACCTCTAATTCAGTACTTAAAAAGTCAAAGAAGGATCGGGGAGAAAATACAAAAAAAGGCAAAAAACGTTCTGATTTCGAATCAGATTTACACTCACCTTCTATCACAGCGCTTTGCTTTGTGCCCATATTATGAGAACGCCATGTATTGATCAACGATGACTTTCCAACATTGGGTATTCCTACTACCATAATCTGAAGCTTACAGATGTTTTCAAGCAATAAACAACACTGGTAATAAGATCCCACCTGAAACTCGGTTTTCACCGCACGATTGAAACGGGGCTCTCGAAAAAGTGCATTAAGTACGGTCTTCTGAACGTCCGATAACGCACGGCTTAGTCGCCTCTTACAATCGGTCCAGATAATTTGATTAATACCATGCTCATAACGGTAGTAATCTTCAATCGGCTGTCTGGAAATGATCCTAGACTGCTCCATAGGACAATCATTTGGAACTCATACAATATCACCCGAGTTCTCTAGGAGTGTACAATCAGCTGAATTTCTAAGACACATTCCTTTCGCAAGAATGCTATGTTGTGGGCAAAAGTCAGACTCCAGGAGGACACAAACCCGCACCCCGCTGACCAAGCGAGTGCGCTATACCATTCGTTCAGAGCTTTCACGAAGAAGTCTGACCATCGCATAGGCGGTCGTCCGTTCGCTTGACATCCCGTGGAATCCAGTCGGTGATCGCTCTGGTCCAGCGGTCGTCCTCGAAACGCATGACGTGTCCGGCCCACCTGATCTTCGAAACCTTGGCAAATGCGGCGGCGTCTCTGATCTTCGATCGTCGGCGGAGTGCGGAGCTCCGGATTCCCTCTCTCACTTGCGTGTAGCGGGAAACTCCGAGCATCGCCCTTTCGATGGCGCGTTGAATAACGCCGACCGCATGCTCATCCTGCTTTCGTAGAGTCCAAGTCTCTGAGGCGTACGTCAAGGCAGGAAGGACCGCGGAATCGAAGAGGTGGGCATGGGAGAACTGTGACTTCGTCTTTTTCGCTACTCCCTGCAGTGGTTCTTGACAGGCTGATAACCTTGTGGACGTAATATAACCCAGTGTTCCTATAGGTGGGTCAACCACCGGCTTGTCTGGCACTGCGTTGGACTATCTTGTGCCATAGCATTTCTCCGAAATGCTCTTAAGCCCCTTTGTCATTAGTCCCCTCTCGTTCTCCCGTATTCTGCTGCAGTCTAATTGTCTCAAATCCGACCACTCCTACGAGAACAGCTTAATTTAGTGGTGCTCTTCGACGTTCTCTCGGCCTTTAAAGAGCTACTTCATAAGTTGAATGGATAACTCGTGACCAGAATTTGGGCATCCACAACGCCGCCCGACCCGTACATCTGCTCGCATCAGGGAGCCCCCACGTACCCGACAACCAGAATGCTCGAGGGAAAACGTTGTTGCCATGAAAGACGGTAAAACTCAACCTCGGATAAAGCAGCGGATCGAAGATACAAAAACTATATGGACGAAAACAGAAAACTATAAGATGAGGTAAGCTTCTGCTAAGGTTCACCTTCAAAATGTCGAATAAACCTACAAAACCGGAAATTGAAAAAATTGAAAAGCGAAAATGAAAAAAATGAAAGGAAAGAAACGAAATTGGTGGGAAAAATCTATTCCACTCACTTATACTTCTTCAAATTGATGAGATCCATTTTATTCATTACCAACACGTGTGGTCGGATTGAGCAGAACTGTTTCAGAAAAGTCGAGTTTCTTCCACTGATCGGGATACGGGCATCATGTACCTAGGAAAGACACCGTAAGAAAATGGCGGGTATGTGATAAGACAATCGTAATATATCGCGCTGGGCGTGGCGAGCGACGTCACGCACGCGAGGGATGAAGAAAAAGAAAGATTGATATCAGTCGAACATTGAGAACGTGCCGCGTCCCGCCGCGCGATGCGCCGTCCATGATGTCGCAGGAAGATTACGATTGTCTTGACCGTCTTCCCAAGCGTAGGGTATGGGAGAGGAAAAGGAAATGCTTCACTTTACCTCGACAATGAGGTCAACGGAACGTAGTTTACCCTCCATCTTTTTCATTTGCACGGACATATGCATAGGAAACCATACTCTGTAGTCGAAATTTGGAGGAAGAGCATACTCCTCACGAAGATCTGGGACGGAGTTGCCTAAAAATGATCGAGAATCTTTAGCTGAGTTCCCATTCGAGGAATTACGACTATGGGCGCTACTAATCTTGGAGGAGAATCATTCAAAGGACTTCTTGTTCAAATAACAGGGAGAAAGTTATCACAAGAATGCTGAGATATTGGCAAAAGTCGGACCCGGGACGGGACTTGAACCCGCATCTCCCGCTTACCGGGCGGTTGCGTTATCCATTACGCTACCGGGGCCTCCTTTGCCTTCTCAGCTCAATGGCATTTTGTGCCATAGCCTTACAGCACTCACACGTTCAACGTGATGAGCCGGTTCAGCAGATAGCGCAGAAATACCTGCTGCGGCCTTCACAGGGTTATTAGAGTTCTTTTTAAGAGTTTTGATAACTGCTGTTTAACGTAGTGTGCAGTATGGCTATGGCACAAAATGCCATTGAGCTGAGAAGGCAAAGGAGGCCCCGGTAGCGTAATGGATAACGCTACCGCCCGGGGCGGGAGATGCGGGTTCAAGTCCCATTCCGGGTCCGACTTTTGCCAATATCTCAGCATTCTTGTGATAACTTACGGAGCGCGCACTGTGGCGTTGAACAGCAGTTATCGAAACTCAAATAACTTTATAACAGAGACGAAAAGGTATTGGTTCGAGGCTTGGAAGGGTAATCTATCTCCGTTCTGTAACTGGTGAACCAAGTTCAAGTACTTATAAATCGCATCGTCAACTGAGGGCAATACTAGTTTTCGTACATTGAGATCCTTTGAATGCCTTACTCGCCTAATCATTATCTCCCGCCCGATTTTTCAACATGTTCAATCAAATGAACAACCCAGATGTCGCGAAGAAAACAACATCTGAACATACCGCTCTGAACAGGCCAGTGAGCACGGAGTCTGGAAGCGGGTGTTTCGATGGAGGTCATTGGTGGAAGAGCTGAGAGGTGTGTGGCCAAGCACCTTTTGGCAGCCCTTCCAATGACGCCAGCAACAACCGTCCGCCCCCAGCATCTCGTGCGCCTCCTGCCTTCAAATCGGCAACAAAGTCGCGTTAAAACATGTATTAACAATACGAATATGTGAAAGAGTTCAACTGAGTGGCCCTCCGCATTGTATAACCATTTCGTTGCTGGCGTGTATGAATGACAAAAGACCGTCTCTACATCGTTCCATTTCTCCTCCTAAGCAGTTTTTAAATGAACTATGAAGCCTCTGATGTTATATCAGACCGATTATACAGCTGCTGACCTGCAAGTATATTAAAAGTAAGGATAAGTTGAAATGCACAGGGTAAGATGGCTGGGCATGGCGGGTGAAGCCAATCGACAACTCAGTGGTAGGCCATAACGAGAGGGCGTTAGGCTACTCCCCCCTGTCAGCCAACCCGTCAGAATACGACGCTTGGCAGTATAACGCGCCCCGCCTCCGCACGTCGTGTCTACTGCTCTTCGATAAACAAGTCCGAATTTATCACAAGAATGCTGAGTTGTGGGCAAAAGTCGTGCCCCAGGCGGGAGTTCAACCCGCACCTCACGCTTTCCGGGCGAGTGCGCTATCCGTTACGCCACCAGGGCCGCTTTTACCCTCTCAGCTTAACGGCTTTTATGCCGTAGCCTATCAGCACTCACACGTTTATTTTGGTGAGCCGGTCAGCCGTAATCGGTGGGATATCGGCATGAAACCGCGAGGCCTAAGGCTTTAGATGTTTTTGAAGCTGTTTTGTTATGATAACTGCTGTTTAACGCCGCAGTACGCGTTCCGAATGTTATCACAAGAATGCTGAGTTGTGGGCAAAAGTCGTGCCCCAGGCGGAGAGTCGAACCCGCACCTCACGCTTTCCGGGCGAGTGCGCTATCCGTTACGCCACCAGGGCCGCTTTTACCCTCTCAGCTTGACGGCTTTTATGCCGTAGCCTATCAGCCACTCATAACAAAACAGCTTCAAAAACATCTAAAGCCTTAGGCCTCGCGGTTTCATGCCGATATCCCACCGATTACGGCTGACCGGCTCACCAAAATAAACGTGTGAGTGCTGATAGGCTACGGCATAAAAGCCGTCAAGCTGAGAGGGTAAAAGCGGCCCTGGTGGCGTAACGGATAGCGCACTCGCCCGGAAAGCGTGAGGTGCGGGTTCGACTCCCGCCTGGGGCACGACTTTTGCCCACAACTCAGCATTCTTGTGATAACATTCGGAACGCGTACTGCGGCGTTAAAATAACGGCTTATGCACAGTTATCGATAATTAACAAAACAGCTTCAAAAACATCTAAAGCCTTAGGCCTCGCGGTTTCATGCCGATATCCCATCGATTACGGCTGACCGGCTCACCAAGTTAAACGTGTGAGTGCTCGGAATATAGGGCTACGGCATAAAAGCCTGTCAAGTGCTGAGAGGGTAAAAGCGGTACCTTGGTGCGTAAACGTGATAGCGCACTTCGCCCCGGGAAAGCTGTGCGGTGTCTGGTTCACTTCCCGCCTGGGGTCACGGACTTTTGTCCACAATCTCAGCATTCTGTGATAACATTCTCGCGAAAAGCGTCCACTGCGCGTTAAACAGCTACAGTATATATACAAAACAGCTTCAAAAAACATCTAAAGCCTTAGGCCTCGCGGTTTCATGCCGATATCCCACCGATTACGGCTGACCGGCTCACCAAAATAAACGTGTGAGTGCTGAATAGGCGTACGGCATAAATAGGCCGTGGAAGGGGGGCTTGAGATGTGGGCGGGGGGGGAAGGGGGGGGTGGGGGGGTGTTGTGGGTGGGGGGGGTAAAAGCGGCCCTGTGTGCGTAATCGATAGCGAGCACCTCGGCGCCGGATTGATAAGTCGTGAAGTGCGGTCGGACTCCCTGCCTGGGGCATTCGACTTTTGCCGCGACAACTCAGCATTGCTCTGTTTGATACATTTCGAAATGGCTACTTCGTGCGTTAAACAGCAGTTATCATAACAAAACAGCTTCAAAAACATCTAAAGCCTTAGGCCTCGCGGTTTCATGCCGATATCCCACCGATTACGGCTGACCGGCTCACCAAAATAAACGTGTGAGTGCTGATAGGCTACGGCATAAAAGCCGTTAAGCTGAGAGGGTAAAAGCGGCCCTGGTGGCGTAACGGATAGCGCACTCGCCCGGAAAGCGTGAGGTGCGGGTTCGACTCCCGCCTGGGGCACGACTTTTGCCCACAACTCAGCATTCTTGTGATAACATTCGGAACGCGTACTGCGGCGTTAAACAGCAGTTATCATAACAAAACAGCTTCAAAAAACATCTAAAGCCTTAGGCTCTCCGGTTTCATGCCGATATCCCACCGATTACGGCTGACCGGCTCACCAAAATAAACGTGTGAGTGCTGATAGGCTACGGCATAAAAAAAAGCCGTCAAGCTGAGAGGGTAAAAGCGCCTGGTGGCGTAACGGATAGCGCACTCGCCCGGAAAGCGTGAGGTGCGGGTTCGACTCCCGCCTGGGCACGACTTTTGCCCACAACTCAGCATTCTTGTGATAACATTCGGAACGCGTACTGCGGCGTTAAAAGCAGCAGTTATGCATAAACATAAACGAGCTTCAAAAAGCAAGACAAGAGTATAGTTTAATTCTCCGCTAGTGTCATAAGGTAACAATCGCAGCGAAGCTGTGTTGATGGGCGGTACCACATCACGGGGCCAATAAGCCGCCAACTTAGGCAGTTTTTTTTCCAAAAGGGGATAGAGAACTGGATGTTTCCTAAAAAACTTGAATTGAAGTGAAGAATTAAGACTTCAGGAGACCAAAGAAGGTATAGTGGGAAAGAATTACACAGGAGAATTTGTGGGGGAGGGAGTTCTGTCACGGTCACTTCATATATCACGATGGTCTACCTTGAATCCTGCGTAGGCAAAGCGAGCTTCTGAGGTTTACTGTTTGGTACCAGATTCATCTAGGACAACAACGGTACAGTTACAAAAGCTGGCTTCCTCAAGTTACTTGATAGGGCAACCAAAGTGCCCTTATTCTGAAAGGGAGAAGAGCTCCCGAACCCCCATCAAAATACGACCCCCGCTGAGAATTTCCCACCGCATGACGTCCCCCATGAGAACGTTCATATCCTCGGGAGATAAGTGAGGGAGATCTCGACTCTCCAGTATGAACAGCGACACACTAATACAAACCCGCTTTTGGGCACACAGAAGGGTAACTGGACAAGGGTTCTGAAGCGAATCTGATCTGAGGGCGTTACCAACCCTACGCAATCCTCACTATGACTGGAGATGGTGGCGCGCGTTGCGCTGATGAATGTGGATGATTTCCCCCGAATGGGATGATGAGCAAAGAACCAAGTGAACATTAAGTCTGAAGAGCATGCGGTCTGAATACAAAAAATCGGCGATATTGAATAGCACACGGCAAGCGGAGGGTGTGGAGCGTTACATCCGGGTCGTGATAAGTGCGGCGAAATAAGCGTTGCAAGCTAGGCGACATACGCAGCACTCGCCCTAGGACCCAATTCACAAAGCGTCAACTCTCTCCACTCTCTCTGCGCCTGCGTCTCTCATGTTAACTAGCTTCCTCCCTGACAGTGTCTACTTAGTCAGCTGGCTAGAAACATTTCTTCCGACTCGGAGACTGCCCATTTGCGAAGTAAGTACCGCCACAACAATACCGATATTGGCTGACGAACTACATCTCAGACTAAGTAGGAATGTGTTCATACTTCGCGTAAGCGTTTTGAGCGTACGGCAGCGTTTCAGGCGCATAGCGTAGTTTTGAGCATTGTGATCGGCTAGGAAAGTATGTGGGAAGTATCGATCAGGCGTATTGAGCGTACACCAGCGTTTTCAGCGGTTATAAGCGAGAACGCTAAAAACGCTGGCGTACGCTCAAAACCTATACCTATGGGGTCCTAGTCGCTCAAACCGCTGCCGTACGCTGGCAAAGGCTCAAAGAGCTGCCGTACTCTAGATCAGTAACTATAGA